TGCTTCAACACCACATACATGTGAATCTTCTAGAATCTTCTTTTTTTCTTTGAACACACACTATATCAGTTAGTAAAGGTTTACTTCACCAGACACAGTTCAAATCTACCTGTGCTGGACACAAAAAGTAATAGAGACTTCTTTGTCTATGAAAGCGCTGTCCAGTTAAAAACTAGACCTAATGTCATCTCGAAAACTGGGTCAATGGTAGAGTGACATGTTATCTAAAAAAACTTCTGATCAGCCTACTACTGATAAATCAAACTACTGTATATCTGGGTATTTTTAAACCAGAGCATTTGTCATGACATGACCTAAAGCGGAGTGAGACCTACAGTCTAGATTAAAATTCGATTTCTCTAAAAGTAACCCAGAATACAAAATATACAGTGTAACAATATAACAAAATGATTGTGTTAAAACAAGCAGAGGTGAATAAGTTGGTTATCAGGACATGTATCTAATCTGGACAGATCTATACAAAACCTCATGACATTATCTAAACACCTCACAAGTTCCTTTGGGCCGCTCACACAAACCACACAGACATTAAACAGTAAGGAAACACATGCACACACACACACACACACACACACATGAACACACACCTAAGGAAACACACCAAACTAAGGAAACACCCACACACACAATCTGATCTTGCTTTAACGTCACCTTGAGGTTCCCCTCATTCAACCGCAGCCTAATGGAAACGGCAAAGCCAAACCTGCCCAATCCCCAGTAGCCCAACTGCTCCCTGTAGATAGGGTCGCGGCCGTGAACACAATGCATGATTTACTGTGTCGCAGTCGAAACCACAAGACAGTTCTCCTCTCAGTGTTAACATCTTGAATTCCCTCCGAATATTCTCATCCGAACTAGTAAACCAGTGGTCATGAGGAAGACAGACCCTACGTGGGCCCCTTCTGTCCACGCGATCCTGCACAGACTTGTGTTTTTTCTCCTTCAAAATCAGTGTACGTCTTCATAATGACGCCTAATGACATTTTTCCTATGTTGTGTGGCGTACGTGACCAGAAACCCGTAGATGACGGTCAAAAAGATATACCAACACAAGACCACAGTAAGGCCTATCTTGTAATATTTTGGTGACATTTAGATTTTTTTTTTACACAACAATTACACACAACAACACAACTAGAGAGAATGCGCACTCTCCTAAACCATAAACAGTTCACAAATCACCTCAGAACGGTAGACCCTCATCAATCACACTGATCAACAACAGCCCTTGTTAGCAGGCCAGCTAGGCCGGCTTCTGGTTGTAAATTATAACGTGGGTAAATACTAGGGATCTCATGAAGGCGGACGCTTGGAAATCTATTCAGTGCTTCCTGGTTATTGTGCCTCTGTTTAGGAGCAACTCGGAGTGTGTTGGGAAGGGCTCGGCTGCTTTCTCACCGTGGCTTTCTGATGCACTTGACAGCAGTCAACAAATCAGTTGCCATTAGGTGACCTTTCACAGCTCCGTATGGAAGAGTTTCAATTCATAGCTGCCTTTATGTCTTCCTGGTAGCTACTGGCTACTGTCTTTTTTACTGTGGTGGTATCAGTCTCCATTGTTCATTATTGAATATTGGGACTGCATTTTTGTTCGCATGGATTCGATGCTCACTTGTTTAGATAAAATAGCACATTACCACTTTAACCCATGTGCAAGGAAAAACACAACGAGCCCACACACACCCACAATCACACACTCACACACAGTGATGATCAGCGTTTTAGCTGCAAAAATTCTTGTGAGAATGAATAGTTTCCGCCTCAGACAAGGGTGTTAGAAGTATGGTCAAAGTGCACATAGCCCACTAACAATGAAAGGTATAAGGTTTTAAAAGCAAAGCTGCTGGATCTCTACGCCTCTGTGTTATTATCTAGCATCTGTTTGGCAAGCTATTGGTTTTTTTTATTCATAAAAGTCGATGTCTTTCTCTGAGCCAGAATGACCTATAATGGGTACTGACACATATTTGCTTTAATTAAGGCCCCTCAGAAACCTGTCTCAGAGCTTCCTCAAATTGAACAGGAAAAGCTAGGACTTTATTCCTGCTACCACAGTTTTCCTAACACATCCAAGGATGTCTGGCCTATACCGCGTCCAAATATGACTGGGCTATACCATGTCCAAATATGACTGGGCTATACCACGTCCAAATATGTCTGGCCTATACCGCGTCCAAATATGACTGGGCTATACCACGTCCAAATATGACTGGGCTATACCACGTCCAAATATGACTGGGCTATACCACGTCCAAATATGTCTGGCCTATACCGCGTCCAAATATGACTGGGCTATACCACGTCCAAATATGACTGGGCTATACCACGTCCAAATATGTCTGGCCTATACCGCGTCCAAATATGACTGGGCTATACCACGTCCAAATATGTGTGGGCTATACCACGTCCAAATATGACTGGGCTATACCACGTCCAAATATGTCTGGCCTATACCGCGTCCAAATATGACTGGGCTATACCACGTCCAAATATGACTGGGCTATACCACGTCCATATATGACTGGGCTATACCACGTCCAAATATGACTGGCCTATACCACGTCCAAATATGACTGGGCTATACCACGTCCAAATATGACTGGGCTATACCACGTCCAAATATGACTGGGCTATACCACGTCCATATATGACTGGGCTATACCATGTCCAAATATGACTGGGCTATACCACGTCCAAATATGACTGGCCTATACCGCGTCCAAATATGACTGGGCTATACCGCGTCCAAATATGACTGGGCTATACCACGTCCAAATATGACTGGGCTATACCACGTCCATATATGACTGGGCTATACCATGTCCAAATATGACTGGCCTATACCACTTCCAAATATGACTGGCCTATACCGCGTCCAAATATGACTGGGCTATACCGCGTCCAAATATGACTGGGCTATACCACGTCCAAATATGACTGGGCTATACCACGTCCATATATGACTGGTCTATACCATGTCCAAATATGACTGGCCTATACCACGTCCAAAGATATCTGGGCTGTACCACGTCCAAACATGACTAGGCTATACCACGTCCAAAGATGTCTGGCCTATACCACGTCCAGAGATGCCTGGACGTGGTATAGACATCTCTGGACATGGTATAGGCCAGAGATGTCCAGAGATGTCTGGGCTTCTGCAGAACAGTGCTTGAGAACAACAGAGTTCTGTCCCCTAGATTTCACTTTGATGGAACCAGAGCCGTGCTGTTCTCACTAAGAGTGATTGTGAAGGATCTTATCAGTCAATTTTTTTGCTTGGAAAGGAGAAGATGCTGGTTCCGTTTTAGGTTTTGATCAACTGATAGGGCTTTGTTTTTACATACTCATAGTGTGATGAAGAAATATGTTAATAAATGTATCCGTCAGTCATGAGACCGGTGTTTCAGTGGACCGACAAGGCAGTTTTTTCTTATCTAGCATTCATTTAAATATAATATTTAGTTCTGAGAATTGTTATTTCAAAGTCATTATTGTGCTATTATATATCCGAGGAAATTAGAAAAACTGCAATATTGGGAAAATTGCATCAAGAGAATGTTCTTCATTTGAACTGTTGACCTGTTGCTTCTTATCTTGTTTCACAGATGTGAGGTGGAATAGGGACATTTATTAGTGTGGTGTAATACGATTTCAATATAATTTAATAAATCATTAATGAAGGACAACTTTCATATGGATCATGGGAGTTATTGATGTTTTAAATAGACGCTGTACATACACTGTTATGCCAAAACATTATGACCACTCACAGGTGACGCAAACGACGTTGATCATCTCCTAATAAGGGCGCTTCATTGTCTGTGTAGATTAGACAGTAAACGAATAATTAGTTCTCGTAGTCGACGGATTGGATGCCGGAGAAACGATGCAACATTTTTATACCCAGACGACTGAGTCATAGCATCTCTGAAAAGGGTTGCAAGGTGCTCCCGGTCAGCAGTGGTGAGTAACTACTATACTGACAGTGGTCAGAGGAGGGTCAAACCATAAACCGGCGAATGGGGTCAAGGCTCCTCGATGTGCCAGGGCCAAAGAAAATGTAAATGATGGGAACGTGAAAAATGTGTCCCAACACACAGTGCAGCGTACGGGGTTTGCGTACCTGCAGACCGGTCCGAGGGCCCATGATGGTCATAATGTTTTGGCTCATAAGTACATGTAATTATATGTATTTATATCTATATAGGCCTATGTGTAAATATGAGTAAGATACAAACAGTATGTTTTCAAGCATTGTGTTGTACGGTTGATCTTGTGACCCGTGGAGCAGGGAGAAACCTGAAATCTGCGACTTATTCCTCTAAGACATTGCACTGATTAATCCCAATATAGCTTTCAATGGGGGGTTCCCTTCCAGCAGTTTTAAGGGAACAGATTAATCAGCTACGTGGGTAATTCACAGAGTGTGGCTGCATCGACTTGAGGGAATATTCAGTCTGGTTGTGCACATCTAACAGGGTGTGCACATCCGAGGGGAAGAAGAAACTACATGGAAATATTCAATCATGACGACATTGCCCAGTGAATGCACAATGTGTCACACTGAAATGAGTGGACTCAAATTGTTATTGATTCCGACTTATTTTCATTTTCAGACTTTTTCATACTGGGCGGCTGCTGCAGAAAATATTTGCATTCTGGGGTTTAAAGGGCAAACAGAGTTCAAATATTAGTTGCTACTCGGACACTATCAGACGTACGTTACAGACGAATTATTACAACATATCATATTTAACCCAACGTTTCCCTCAGTCAGACGATATTTCACAATGTATTTTGTGAGATGACCACTGATCATAGAAATCGTGCAGATTTAAATGTTTATATTTTGTCATATTGAGTTTGTTTGATAGATATGGCTTTGTCTTAAAATAGCCAGTTATTTTTTTTAATTTTAACTTTATTTTACCAGGTAGGCCGATTGAGAACACTTTCTCATTTGCAAGGGCGACCTGGGAAACAGTTGGGATTTGAACCCAGGACATCATACACACAAAGCATGCATTCTACCAACTGCTCCAAAGCCATGACTAACACATAAGATAAAGTATTGATTGTTCCAGTATTCCAGAAGGTATGGAAATAGTCTGCTATAGTCGTAGAACTGCCAAATTGGGACTACTCATTACTCCTTTAGATGCAGGATTATAATTCACTCTGTCAACATCCACTCTTGTGTTTCCACTGCCATCTCTTTTCTGTACACATATCTCATTTAGATGTTTAAATATCCTTAAAAGGCAATCACCGTGACCTCTATGTGTACAGAAAAGAGAACAACAGTACAAACTTTTTGGGGATTGCTCATCATACATCGCTGTATCTTTTTTTTAAATAAAAGTATTATTTTTAATATATTTGAAGAGCTTCTCACATTATTTTGTGAGGAGCTCTGATGGCACATTCTGTGATTGCAGCCAAGAACATTGCACTGGACTGTGTTAATGCTGCTCTCTGCTGGTGTCGGTACAATTGGGATTATTGTCCTAGGGGTACAAATGAACCGCCAGTTGTTTATTGAACAAAATTGAGCTTTTTAGCTGGAGTTGTGTAGTAGTGGTTGTTTTATTTCCTCTGGCGTACCGTACGTTTGTGTGTGTTGTAGAACCGCCTATGTGTATTTTGGTATGGCTAATAATTAAGATACATGTCATGCATGTGACAGTGTTAAGACAGCATGTTGCTACATTTCTTGCACAGGTGCAGTATAAAACACCCCAGTCTGTAATATGCTTCTACCTTCCAATCCTGTAGGGGCTCATACACATATGCAGTATAAAACACACCAGTCTGTAATATGCTTTTACCTTCCAATCCAGCAGGGGGCGTGTATGACTGTAGCACATTCAACAAACGCTCTTAGAGTATCCGGTTAGCTACGTTGGCATTTTATACCGGCTTTACAGCTGCGGACAGGCTGTCAACAGAAAAGTTGGTTGTGCAGCGAAAATGGTTAGTATATGGTCATCATATGTTTACGAGCCGACACATATTACGCTATTGATTAGGATGTGCTTTTTCATGTTTGGAATTATAGTTTTTAGAGAGAGGATGATGTTGGATTTTGCCGCATGGTTTCGCCAGTCATCTGTGGGCTGTCGTCAGCATGGCGACATGGCGCTCTAAAGGCCTACTGCAACACTTGAAGTGTTCTTAATATTGCATTAACATACACGCGTTTGCTGTAGATGTCATCCATTGTTGTCATCTATATGTGTGACCAGTGAGTCTGTTGACTGAATTAAGTTGTCAGGCGATTCTCAAATTTGACGTGACTGTAATGTTGACAGTACATTTTCAAAATGAAACGTTTTCCCCATCCGCATGTTCTACTCTCCTGGAGCATTCGGGCTGTAGATGGGGCAGTGGGGAGGGATGTTGACACTGCGCCTGTATTTGTCGCACATTGCGTGCCCTGTTGGCAGAAATGTTGTTACAGCGGTCTTTCTTTCTTTACAGGGTTTCGTGAAGGTAGTAAAAAACAAGGCCTACTTCAAGAGGTACCAGGTGAAATTCAGGAGAAGGCGAGGTAAATATAATCCTGCGGAGTCAAATGGTGTATTTCAGTGTAAATGCTGGCTTACTAGCCAGTTGTATTAATGTGTGTGTTAAATAAATTGCTTCTTGATGATGATTCCAAGATCTCTGAGCTCACTGGAGTTGGTCCTTCGTTTGCAACAGTTGATGTTTTTTTGTTCTTTCAAGACGGGGCTGAGAGAAGCATATTTATAAGCACTAGAAATCCTAATGGTAAAGTAAAGGTTTGGTTAATGCCTGCATGCTTACCAGTTGTGTTTTTATGTACTTGTTGTTTCGACAGAGGGAAAGACGGACTACTTTGCTCGTAAGCGTCTAGTCATTCAAGACAAGAACAAATATAACACACCCAAGTACCGGATGATTGTGAGGTTCTCCAACAGAGACATCTGTTGCCAGGTGAGTTGCTATGGGGATTTGGTCCATGCTCATAATGATCTCCTGGTATGATTGAAACCGCTACCGTATCTCATGAACCACATCCGGTCCCTTACTGGTCCTGTCTCGTGTTTCAGATTGCCTATGCCAAGATTGAGGGAGACCAGATTGTGTGTGCCGCCTACTCCCATGAGCTGCTGAAGTATGGCATCACCGTGGGGCTCACCAACTACGCCGCTGCTTACTGCACGGGCCTACTGCTGGCGCGTCGGGTAGGGGCCACAACACACACACAGACATGACTGTACACACACATACACACACACACAGACAAATGACTGTACACACACACACACACAGACAAATGACTGTACACACACACACACATATATACACAGACAAATGACTGTACACACACACAAACGACTGTGTTCAGAGATGTTGTGGTAGTCACGTAGATGACCTTTGCCCTGCATGACAGTTGTTTGTTAGAGCGCTGGTCGCTGTATTGATAAATTACTTGTCAGCGTTTGGGGCATTTGGTGCTTGACTAAAACCAGTCCAGTGCCAGAGCTGATATGCTGACAAAGCAGGATCTGACCGGGACTTTGTTGACTTGTGTGTCCAGTATCATTGTGTAACACAGAGCGCTTTTTTCCTGCTGCCACGGGGATTTTCCTTTCTGCTTTTTGTTCAGTACGAATCGGTTCGCTATTAAACGCAGTTAATTCAATCCACTTTTAGTTTTGCAAGCTTCAATAATTTCAATATAAAAGTTGTGTGCCACCAGTTTTTACTCCCGATCCAGAGTATTTCTGTAATGTTTCTTCTCTTTCCTCTCGCCTTCACATTCTCACTCTGTAGCTGCTGAACAAGTTTGGCCTGGACCAGGTTTACGAGGGTCAGGTGGAGGTGACCGGAGATGAGTTCAACGTGGAGAGCATAGACGGACAGCCGGGTGCGTTCACGTGTTACCTTGACGCTGGGCTCGCCAGGACGTCGACGGGGAACAAGGTGTTCGGAGCTCTGAAGGGGGCAGTTGATGGTGGCCTCTCCATCCCTCACAGGTTAGCGCAGCTTTGGGGATTCATATGTTCCTGTTCGGCCTGTTTTGGTCTTGGTGTTGTCCTCTATGACCAACACAGAGGGATGATGGCTGAACATTCTCTCATGACCCTGTAATGAAGGCTGACCACCTGTGGAGCCTGTCAGAAGATACATCCGTTCATGTCTATTCTGTCGATTTACTTTGAAGTATAGAAAACTGCTTAGAATGAATGCCATAGATAACCTTATTGACCCTGTATTAATACATGGGCTTTGATGTAATGGAGTGTAAATAATGCATTTCTAAAGGTTATATTATTCAGGTCAAAGTAACTACTCAAAATTGACACCAATAACTCAAGGCATAACGTTGCCATCCGTTTCTCTCAGCACAAAACGATTCCCCGGCTACGACATGGAGAGCAAAGAATTCAACCCAGAGCTGCATCGTAAACACATCCTGGGCATGAATGTGTCTGACTACATGAGCTACCTGATGGAGGAGGACGAAGAGGCCTACAAGAAACAGTTCTCACGCTTCATAAAGAACGGAGTCACGCCAGACACAGTACGTCCTCTCCGCCACCAGCTTAATTCTCGAACGTCCTGAAATCAGTTGGTTCGGCTGTTTCTTTTCTGTCTAAAATCACAGCTTTGATATGTTATAAGAATGTTTGTGCAACGTGAAGCATTAGTCCTCTGTTTGTGACAGCTGATGTTCTGTTGGTGCTTTCATGTCTGGGGTGAGGGAAGTGCGATTAACAGTACGCTGTTGTGACTTTACTACAGAATTGTTTTCTCACTTGCGTCCGGCCAATGTTTTGTTTTTCAGGTAGAGGAGATGTACAAAAAAGCACACACCGCCATCCGAGAGAATGCCGTCCACGAAAAGAAACCGAAAAAAGAAGTCAAGAAGAAGAGGTGGGTTTGCTTAACTTCTACTTGAGAGAAACATGTTTTTAGAGTTTGTGGTGGCAGAGAAATCGAGCTTTTAAATAATTTGCTGTGGTATAGCTTCATTCTGGATGTATACTTAGTCCATCTCTTCTGATGTGCTTCATCTCTTCTGATGTGCTTGTGGCTAATAAGGGGCTCTCTTGCAGGTGGAACCGTGCCAAACTATCGCTGGCACAGAGGAAGGACCGCGTCGCCCAGAAAAAGGCCAGCTTTTTACGGGCCCAAGAAGCACAGGCGGTTGCAGATGGATAGAAGGACTTGTCGCACCTGCCCCCACCAAATATACTTTAATAAAATGCTACAGAACGTTGCTGTGTTTCCCCATTTGATGTGGTGTATTTTAAAACATGGTAGAAATGTTAGTGTGTTATCTTTCCCGTAGAAACTTAAATTAGGTTGTACTTATTAGTTTGGGTTGTCTCCGCTAGCTAAGATTAATAAGTTGTGGATGTTAGACCTATGTTACGGCAAGTATCTCAAACTATTGTTTCTGTCATACCATTGGACTTACTGTAAGAATGGTAGTCCTAAGATAATTACAATAATAGGTTTGTTTACAGTACCATTGCAATTTTATTAAAGTATTGGCATAGTGTAGATTCAATACTTAACAATTAAAGCACATGTTAATTTAACATTAACACCCACAATATTATTTTAAGTAGGTTAACCACTGTAAAGTACTATAACACTACAAAGACTAAACAACGTAACACAGGATGAAACTTTTATTGTGCAAAATCGTGCTGGTTCAAACCGCGAAGCAAATGAATATCGACATTTCAACTTACTTCAATGTGCCTTTCAGAAATCCACAATCCTATATAGTACCTCCCATAAGAGGGTGATAAATATCTATATGAAACTGTGAAATTACATCAAGTCTGGAATTTTCTGCTGACTTCGGTTTTAATTACGGCACTAGTACACAGGCAGTGCTACACACAGATTGTGGGAAATGGTAGAACCGTTCTTAATGAGACGAACATAGTATACAAACCAACAGGCTCTGGCCATACCGAAGGTTGTAGTATAATTATTATTTTGATCCAGCATTCCGGTTATTTGTTAAAAATGGCAAATAATGTCCAGCGACGTGGATGATCTGA